TCTTTAATGTCCATTAACATAAGAAAAAGGGCTCTTAAATCAGAGCTGTAAACACAAAAGGGCTTGCGGCTTGCAAGAATGTAAACAAACCAAGTCCCAGTCAGTCCTCGCTGGGAAAAGGAAAGCAACAAACACAGGCAGAAACGCTTGATTTCAGCAGCAGAAACTCAGTCCATTCCAAGTCCAAACAAAACAGCAAACAGGAATCCGCATGAGGAGCGGTCCAACGAAGTCACCAAGGGATAAGCAGAAGCGTAGAGTGGTCAGGCAGTCCGAGGGTCAGGGCAGGAGATGAGACTCACGAATCCAGTTCCAGGCAGGGTCGTCCACACAAACAGGAATCCACGAAGCTGAAAGCAGGAACTCAGGGCAAGAGTTAAACACAAGGCACACGGTATCACGACACTTTGAACTCTGCAACTAGTCTACTCCCAAACTGCTCCTTAAATCTCATCCGAGTCGCTGGAGTTACTTTCAGGTGCGTCCATCTCCACAGGTGAATCCCGACTTCTCCATTGCTGCCATTCTGTACTTGGGACTGCATCCTGCAAAGTAGTATCTGAAACCCAAGTGTCAGTAAAACCCAGAAACTCATCGCTAGAGGTGGGAGCATTAACCACATCTAACACTTCCTGAACCTTGGTCCAGTCCAGCTCTTCCTCTTCGCTGTCAAACTCCTCACAATCAGCTACATCTTTAAGGCGTTTAGAAACAGATCCCACATCACTATCCGAGCTGCTTGCTACTCGCTTTACACCGCGGTAATCCTCCACCTCCATTTCCTCGCGAGTAAACCCCTCAAAATCCTCATCTGTAGGCTCTAAGAACAAGTCTCTAATACGCTTCAGCTGCTGCTGGGCATCTTCTGCTTCCAAACGTCGCTTCCTTCTACTACTACTAGTAGGTACATGAGACAGACGCTGAATCACAACATAAGAAGTCAACACAAGCCTTGTGTTTGTCAACACCAATCAAGAAGAATCAACATCTGGCAAAGAAACTGAGATGGAGTCAGGATGGAAGATGTCTATCATTGATTTACAACTTTGGGACTACATCAGCAGAATATTCCTATAAAAGACTCAATCTAATAATGCTCAAAGTGTGGCAGACCTGAGGAGTCTGTTCCACCCATTATGCTTCGCTCTATGGGAAGGAGAGAGATGGTGTACCATGGAGTGGCAGATTTGCAAGGAAGCAGTCTGGTCACTTTGGGGCTTCTTTCTCAGGGGAAGAGGAAGAAATGTGTTTTTGGAGTCTTAGATTTTGTGCAGGGAGTCAGATTCTGCTGTATGGTCCTTGGCATTGTTCTTAGGGAAAGAAGTTTTGGTGTTATGGCAGTTTTGGAACTATGCATTGACAGGCTGAAGGAAAGCAGGTGCTCCTCCAAGGAGGGAGAAAATGATATGGTAATATTTGAATGCCTGAGGATGAATACATGTATATGTAGTGCAAATGTTGAGTGAAAGTGTAATTCCCCTTTGTTTGTTTGTTAGCCATGTAATTGTAAATCCAATGTAGTTGCATAGAATCTGTATGTTTGTATGTCCAATGTCATTCTATGTCTAAATGTTTTTCTGTAATCTGATATACCCTCTCACACTGGAAATTGCAATAAAAAGAACCTATGCTTTAAAGTTATTGAAAAGTCATTCATGACACAAAGGTTCATATGTGGCAGGTTTGATAGGCTGCAGAATGGTGGTGGGAAACACCGGGTGTCCCAAAAGTTGTTGAATTCCAGTTCCAAGAATCCTTACTTTGAAGCATTCTATTCCCAGCATCCAATGGCCATGGATGCTGGGAATAGCAATTCAACAATCTCAGGAAGGCTGTTCAAGTCCTACCTTAGTTGAAAGGTACATTAAGGTAATCCAGAGTGTTGTACAACTGTTTTAAGTAGCACAGTTCTTAAAAGGGAAGCCATGTAAAGCTCTATACCTATCAGTAACATACAATCAAAGAACTATTTTTGGAGAATTCCTTTCCTCTTCCATGAAGCCTCTGCCATCCTCACCATTTCTTCATTGTCTTTTCTTGTTCTCTCTCTCTTTTGGCAGCACCATCATTTTTAGCTCCTGACTCAGGGAGAAATCCTCTCTGTGGAAGTTAATGTGATTAAGCAAACAAGCATCTAAGCAGCAGCTCAGTTAAGAAAAAAGATCCAACAACAACCTTAAGCTACACTACATTACCTTTGCCCCTTCAGCTTGCCCTTTAATGTTTACAATGACTCAAGACTCAGGGGAAATGCATGCCATAAAGCAGAAATACGCCTGCAATATCCAAATATTAAATCCAACATGATGTAGTAGTTTGAGATTGGACTATGACTCTGGAGGCCAGAGTTCGAATCCCCATTCAACCATGGCTGAGTGACTATGAACAAGTCATTCTCTCTCAGCCACAGAGGAAGGCAAAGGGAAACCCTCTGGAAACAAATCTTGCAAAAGAAACCCCTATCATATTGTTACTTTAAGTTGGAAACAAATTGTAGTCAAAGAATCACCAATAGGCTTGTGCACGGATTCGGAGTGGTTGGTTCCCTTTGGCCAAGCAGGCTTGTTTGGCTTGGCTGGATAGCTGTAATGGCAAGGCCCCAACCGTCACGTTTTTTTCATCCATTACAGGACCATGTTGCAGCTGATCATGGCTCCTCCTCCCCTATTCAGTATCCTAGAGCTCACAAAGATGACATGTCTTACACAAGCTGTGTCTGCTTCCTTAACTATAAAATCCATACAGCTACCACTCCCAAACAACAAAATCAACCCCTCCCCCCCCAACCCCACCAGTATTCAAATTTGGGCTTATTGGGTATTTGTGCCAAATTTGGTCCAGTGAATGAAAATGCATCCTGCCTATCCGATACTGACATTACAATTCATAACAGTAGCAAAATTACAATTATCAAGTAGCAACGGAAATAATTTTTTGGTTGGGGGTCACCACAACATGAGGAACTGTGTTAAGGAGTCGCAACATTAGGAAGGCTGAGAAACAGTCTGGATTATATGTCAGTGTAGATGGGGCCTGAGCCATAGCACTGACTTAATTATACCATGTAGGTTAGGTATGTTCAAACGTCAGCCCTCCAGTGCTTTGGAGGGCCGATGTTTGAAATTCCAGCCAGTTTACCAGCTGTTAGGAAGTGTGGAGGTCCAAAACACCTGGAGGTCTTCATGGCAGATGTTTGCTCTTGCCTGATTTATTGCACCCAAAGCAAGCAAGCCACTACTGGGTTGTTGAGAGTTTTCTGGTCTGTATGGCCATGTTCCAGAAGCATTATCTCCTGACGTTTCGTCTGCTTCTATGGCAAGCATCCTCAGAAGCTGTGCTTCCAACCCTCCCCTCCTTGTTTACAATGCAGATCCGAAAGATGGAGGAGAAGGGCCCTTCCACATAGCCCTATATCCCATAATATCAAGGCAGAAAATTCTACAATATCTGCTTTGAACCGGGTTATCCATGTCTACCCTCAGATAATGTGGGATTTTCCACCTTGATGGGGTATAGGACTTGGTGATAGTATGATAGCTGGTACTGAGGTCTCATGGTGCTACGCTGTTTCCCCAATGGCGGTTGTGAATAAGGGAAGGGAGCATGTGTCCGGCCATGTGGTTGCACAGGGGGTGGAGTGAGACACGGAGGCTCTTTGGCTTAAATGGTAGTGCGTAGTTGGCTTAGAAGGAAGGACAGAAAGGAGGGGGGAAATTCAAGAAGTATTGTAAGTTTGTGGGGAGCCAGGATGTGGTCTACCATCTCCTCCTTCAAAGTTAGGTGTTCCCCAAAACCTTGTTTATCACTTCTCAATAAAGAACTAAAATCCGTTCACTATTATCTCTGCGTGTTCACTGGTATACTTCCGTGGATTCTGTGGTGGTTTCTGTGTCCCGCACCCGTTACATTACTTCAGTGGCATCTTTCCACCCCTCCATTCCGCAAACAGCGTTTCAGAAACAGTGTAACGCCACGAGGCCACAGTACCAGCTATCATACTCTCTCCTAGGACTGTGTGGAAGGGCCCCAAGAGAGGTGACTAAAGTGATCAAGGCTCTGGAGAGCAAGCCCTATGAGGAGCGGCTTAAAGAGTTGGGCATGTTGAGCCTGAAGTAGAGAAGGCTGAGAGGAGGCATGATGGCCATGTATAAATATGTGTGGCGGAGTCATAGGGAGGAGGGAGCAAGCTTGTTTTCTGCTGCCCTGGAGAGTAGGACACGGAACAATGGCTTCAAACTACAAGAAAGGAGATTCCATTTGAACCTTAGGAAGAACTTTATGGGAGAGGAAGCCACAGGGAGGAGGGAGCAAGCTTGTTTCCTGCTGCCCTGGAGACTAGGACACGGAACAATGGCTTCAAACTACAAGAAGATTCCATCTGAACATGAGGAAGAACTTCCTGATTGTGAGAACCATTCAGCAGTGGAACTCTCTGCCCCAGAGTGCTGTGGAGGCTCCTTCTTTGGAGGCTTTTAAGCAGAGGCTGGATGGCCATCTGTCAGGGGTGATTTTAATGCAATATTCCTGCTTCTTGGCAGGGGGTTGGACTGGATGGCCCATGAGGTCTCTTTCAATTCTATGATTCTATGATCCTGACTATGAGAGCCGTTCAGCAGTGGAACTCTTTACCCCGGAGTGTGGTGGAGGCCCTTTCTTTGGAGGCTTTTAAACAGAAGCAGGATGGCCATCTGTCGGGGGTGCTTTGAACTGGATGGCCCACGAAATGTCTTCCAACTCTATGACCATGTTCCAGGAGCATTCTCTCCTGACGTTTCGCCCGCATCTTTGGCAGACATCCTCAGAGGCGATGCTTTCGAGCCTCTCCTCCTCGTTTACAATGCAGATCCGACAGAGGAAGGAGAGGCGACTGCAGAGAGAGGAGAGCAGGAGCAGGTTTGGAGCAGAAGCGGCGCCCTTTCTTTCCCTCTTTGTGCCTCCGAGTTGCGCAAACTCCTCCCCCGCCCCGAATGAAACACCCAAACTTATGTAACTTGGGAACTAATCTTCCCTAATCTTGAGCAAGGCATGTTATAATCCGCATGTTATAATCCGCCGTGGTGGGGCAATGCGAGGCAACAAAAGAGGCGTGGGGAGGAGGAGGAAGAGGAGGAGGAGGAGGAGGGCGGAAGGGAAGCAAAGTTCACTCGGCTGGGCTGTCAAAACCCGGCCCAGGTGAAGAAGGAGCGAGAGGGAGCTCGGCTGCCTGCCTGCCTGCCATGAAGACCGCGGGGATCTTCCTCTTCCACGGCCTGGCCCTGGCCTGGTACGCCTACCTGGTCTACGCCATCAGCCTCATCACCAGGAAGAACACGGAGAAGCCCTCCGACGTCTTAGCCTACGGAGGGCAGTGGAAGTTCCTCACCGTCCTCAACCTGGTAAGCAAAGAGGCCTCGACAGGATGGACACACAGGCGGCACCCATAGGCTTCCTTCTCTTAGCACTTCATCACACTAGGAGGGAAAGATCCACTTAAAATCCGGTTTCTGCCTCCTGCAGAATACCGGTGTTTGTAGTTTAGGGAGGCTGTTAAAGGCCCCTCCCTAAACTACAAAGCCCAGAATTCTGCAGGAGGCACCAACCGGATTTTAAGTAGATTTTTTCCCTAGTGTGATAAGGCCCTACTAGTTTGGCCCGACTTCAGCTGCATGGCACAAGGCTATATAGAATGCTGGCATTGGTCACCCTGTGAGATATTTTATTTATTTATTTATTTAAAAGTTGTATATACCGACCTTCTCACCTCTCTTGAGGGACTCAGACCGGTTTCCAACCATAATATCACATACAGTTAAAAAACATAATAATTCATTTTACACTAAAACATTAAAACAGTAATTTCATTCAAAAACTACAATGGTCAGTCYTCACACTGACTCGTTGTTCATCATCCTTCATCCATATCTGGCTCACTCGTRGAATGCCTGTCTCCATAACCACGTCTTCAGCTGTTTCCTGAATGTCAGGATAGAAGGGGCYYTTCTGATCTCCAGTGGGAGAGAGTTCCAGAGTCGAGGGGCCACCACCGAGAAGGCCCTGTCCCTRGTCCCCACCAGACGRGCTTGCGAGGCCAGTGGGACCAAGAGCAGGGCCTCTCCAGACGATCTTAATAATCTTGATGGTTCATAGGGGAGAATACGTTCGGAGAGGTAAACAGGGCCGGAATCGTTTAGGGCTTTATAGGTTAACACCAGCACTTTGAATTGTGCTRGGAAGCTAATCAGCAGCCAGTGGAGCTGGTGTAACAGGGGAGTGGTGTGCTCCCTGTACCCATCACCCGTTAGTAATCTGGCTGCCGAGCGTTGGACTAGCTGCAGCTTCCAGGCAGTCTTCAGAGAGCGTTGCAGTAGTCTAAACAGGATGTAACCAAAGCGTGGACCACCGTGGCCAAGTCAGACTTCCCAAGGTACGGGCACAGCTGGCGCACAAGTTTTAATTGTGCAAAAGCTCCTCTGACCACCGCCCAAACCTGGGGCTCCAGGCTCAGCGATGAATCTAGGAGAACTCCCAGACTGCGAACCTGCAGTCTGGGAGTCTGGGAATATTTCCTCCACTAACTCTATAACTTTGTAGTTGAAGTCCAACCTTGGATGCTCTTAGGCAGTGGTTATCAACCTTCCTAGGAGCACCCCGGTGGCACAGTGGGTTAAACCGCTAAACTGCTGAACTTGCTGACCAAAAGGAAACCACACAACACTCCTGTAATTACATCATACAACGTAATTAGATGTCATTCCCGATCACATTATGTATGTATATATGTATCCTTCCACATTCTAATTGCTATTGCACAACCCCTAATGCCACATCAGTGTGAAACCATAGAGTTCAATATAGTCAGCTCTAGAATAAAAAACAATCTCTCAGCCTATTTGTCCTTGTTTTATCATCCTATACTGTCTACCAGATGGTAATTATTCAAATAATAATAATAATAATAATAATAATAATAATAATAATAGGAAGTGTTGAACGTGTGATCCAATACAACAGCCAGCAGAGTGTCTGCTGTGGACTCATCTTGTTGTGTTTCTAATAATAATAATAATAATAATAATAATAATAATAATAATAATAATAAAGTTACAGAAATGAACACGTCAAGCTACTTTGGGACTTCCAGATTCAGACAGACAGAGTTTTGGAGCACAATACTCCAGACCTCATGATTGTGTTAAAAAACAAAGTATAGATTGTCGATGTTGCGATCCCAGGTGATAGCAGGATTGAAGAGAAACAACTGGAAAAGCTAACACGATATGAGGATTTAAAGATCTAACTGCAAAGACTCTGGCACAAGCCAGTCAAGGTGGTCCCAATGGTGATCGGCACATTGGGTCCAGTGCCTAAAGACCTTGGCCTGCACTTAAACACAATTGGCGCTGACAAGATTACCATCTGCCAGCTGCAAAAGGCCACCTTACTGGGATCTGCACGCATTATTCGCCGATACATCACACAGTCCTAGACGCTTGGGAAGTGTCCGACGTGATCCAATGCAACAGCCAGCAGAGTGTCTGCTGTGGACTCATCTTGTGGTTTTTCAAATAATAATAATCATAAATCCAGCATATATATCTTGTTTGCTGTGACATACTGTGTTTTTGTGTCAGAATAATAATATTTATTTATTTATTTATTTAATATGTATTTGTGTTTCAAATAATAATATTTAATAGGCCACCCTATCTTTCCAAGGGGACTCAAAAAAGAAAATCCAGAGTGAGGTGGATCCTTAAGAATATTTTGAGCTTTTTTAAAAAAAAAAAAAAAAAACCAGAGAATTATAAAGTTCTTCCAAAGAGGGGAGAGGGCAAGAACTTTATGTAGGAAATCCTTTCCCAGTGCACACTCTCCTCAAAGAACATTGCCAAGAGATGCCATAGCTCTGTACATGAGAAGGACACTTCTAGAATAGGAATACATGTATGCTTTCGCACTGTGTTATATGTGACTTCAAGTCAGCCCTGATTTATGGTGACCCTAGTGTAGATGCACTCTGTATGGCTTTGGGTTATTTCAGATTTATGATAACCCAAAATAGAGTTTTTTTGGCAGAATTTGTTTAGAGTGGGTTTGCCCCTTGGTGCCTTCCAAGGCTGAGAGAGTCTGACTTGCCGAAGGTCACCCAGCAGTTTGACCCCACTTCAACTGCCATGGCTCAATGCTATAAAATGTTGGGATTTGTAGTTTTGTGAGTGTGTGTCGGAGGCATAACGAACTACCAACTGCAGATTCCTGTAGCATTGAGCCATGGTACCAAACTGCTACCATTTTGCAACTTCCTTTGACATCTTGCCTTTTAACTTTTTGCTCTGAAGGGCCATGCAATGTCTAGGGAAGAGAAAGAGCTGTTGCAAGTCCATTCACACTGGAGTTTTACCATCAAGTTATTTTGGATTTATGAGATCCCAAAAGGGAAGATATCACAGGGTTTTCTTGGCAGAGAATCATAGGATCATAGAGTTAGAAGAGACCTTGTGGGCCATCCAGTCCAAGTACCTGCTAAGAAGCAGGAAAATCACATTCAAGGGGATTTGCCTTTCTTTCCCAGAAGCTGAGAACATGTGACTTGTCTAAGTCGGTTCCATGTTCAAGCAGGGGATAACGTATAGGAACCTGATGTCCCAGTATCTTTGAGGTTTCTACTTTGCTCAGAAGTATTAGAGGGGATTTCCGACAGAAAATTCTGAATACCTCTCCTTGAACTTCAAATTTTAGGCTTCTATGGAATAGAGCTATGGCAGTGAAAGTGGAATCATAGTGGTATAATTGTGTAGTGTGAAAGGTCTCTTAGTTAATGCAGGTGATTATTGGGGGGGAAATCACTTTTAGATTTGGGAATTAGGAGTTCTTAGCCTTCAACACAAATACAGAAGAGGCATTGGTATGTGTTGGGGTTTGATACCAGGAGTCCCTGTGGGTAGTGAAATCCATGAATGTTCAAGTCTCATTATATCAAATAGTGTATATAATGGCATGTATGCTGTGTTCACATACACACGCACACATACAAACACACACTTATTTGCCTATATAAAATGGAAAATCAAGGTTTGGAATTGTTTTTGCATATTTTCAAGCTGCAGATGGTTGAATCAATATACAGAGGGAAGATGTAAATTATGTTTTTACCTTTGGTATTGATGTATTTGTATTTTATTGCACTGTGTGTATTGTTACATTTTGAGTGCTTTGTAAGCTGCCCCAAGTCCTTCTTGGGAGATGGTGGCGGGGTAAAAATAAAGTTTATTATTTATTATTATTAAGACTTCCTGTAGAATTGATAACACTATATAACAAAATTTGAAAAAAAAATCTGTTCCTGGTTTGAAAGTGTTATTTCCTGTTTAACTGCGTGGTACTTACTTTGAAAGTAGTTGTTCTACTCCAGAAACTTTGTGGCTGCCACAAACTATGTTGAATTGGTTGAGACTTGATGAGATACTAACTAATTGAAAAACTACAGCAAAATGTGGTGCAGTGTGTCCTGCAAAAACACAGTTTTTGCAGATTAATACACTTTTTCCATGTTTTTATGAGCGAGCCAATTAGGAAATAACATTTATAATCCAGGAACAAAATTTTTGTTAGGGCCCTTCCACCCAGCCATAGAACCCGGAATATCAAGGCAGAATATCTGCTTTGAACTGGGTTATCTGAGTCTACACTGCCATATATTCCTGTTCAAAGCATATAATGTGGGATTTTATTCAGCTGTGTAGAAGTGTCCCCAGACAGGTCCTATATCCCAGGATCTGATTTTCTGTTTATCCCAGATTTTTTGGCAGTGTGGACTCATATAATCCAGTTTAAAGCAGAAAAACTGGGATCAGATCCTGGGATATAGGACCTATCTGGAAGGGCCCATAGTGTAATTGAAAACCATCTAGAAATTTAATTTAAAAACAAGTAGTGGAAGGAGATGAATCAGCTTTGAAGTTCTGATGCTCAGATAGCAACCCACATGGTAGGTTGTATAGGTGACATACCATGTGGGTTTGGGTCCAGGTTACCTACAGGATTTCCCTCTCTCATACAATCCACCCATGACACTTAGGCCCTGTACAGGGCGGCTACTCCAACCAGCTAGAACCTGACTCGCAACTGTCATTATCTTTTCATCATCTGCCCTGAAGCTGTGGAAAAACCTTCTGGAAGATCACTAAAATGATCAAGAGGCTGGTGAATACACTCTATGAGGAGCGGCTTAAAAGAGCTGTTTAGTCTGCAGGAGAGAAGGCTGATAACCATGTATAAATATGAAAGGGGAAGTCATAGGGAGGAGGGAGCAAGCTTGTTTATTATTATTACATTATTATTATTATTATTATTATTATTATTATTATTATTATTATTATTATTATTATTATTTGAAGCACAACAAGATGAGTCCACAGCAGACAAGATCACTCTGCTGGCTGTTGTATTGGATCATATGTCAGACATGTCCCAAGTGTTGTTGTTGTTGTTATTATTATTATTATTATTATTCATTCAGTTTCAGGGGACCAGCATTGTTAATCTGCTGGAGCAGATGTGTGATAGACCAATTTGACAATATATCTAAAGGCATACATTTTTTAAAAAAAAAAATTGGGGTGCTATCCTCATTAAGAAATTAATCCTAGCATATTTTAATAGTTAAACTTGCAAAATACAAGAACCTTACATTTTTCCAAGCTGAAAGGAGGGGGCAAAATGCATTCCTCCAGCTATTATTGAATTGCAGCTCCTAGCATTCCTTGCCACTTCTTATGCCAGCTATTGTTGCTGGGAACTGCAATCTGATAATATTTGAAGAGCTGTACTTTGCCCACCGTTGACCATAAATCTGTGGGGCAAATCTCTGCAGGATAAGGTACAAAACCATGTACTATTCTGAATGTTTCTTTATGGAAGACTTCAGTCCCTGGAGCATTAGTTGGAAAGAAAGAAACAATAGTAGCCAATGAGCACAAATATGGCATTACTCTCTGAACATTGTGAGAGCCAGCATGGCATAGTAGTTTGTGTATTGAACTACGACTCTGAAAAACCAGGGTTTGATTTCCCACTTGGTCATGGAAACCCACTGAATGACCTTGGGTGAGTTGTACACTCTCAGCCCCTCGAAAACAATGATAGTTTTGCCTTAGGAAATAACTCGAACCCACATCCAGGGACTAACCAGGGCTAACCCTGCTTCATTATCATCGGTGATCACTCATGTCCAAGTAGGATGGCCTTACAAGTGTAGGATCTTGGTGGAAGGTCTGTAGGTGACTGAGGATATCTATTCTTAACCCATATGTTCTTCCACAGTGAGGACATTGGTTTCCAGGTGGAAGGTGGTCCTGGTCAAGGTTGGCTTGATGCGCCTTCCTCTTGGCATGTTTCTCCCTTTCACCTTCCATTCGGGCCTCTTTGAATTCCACAGCACTGTTGATCACAGCTGACCTCCAGTTAGAGCACTCAAGGGACAGGGCTTCCCATTTTTCAGTGTCTATGCCACAGTTTTTAAGGTTGGCTGTAAGGTAGGTCCCTAGACCTAAGGCTAAAGGCAACCCTGCTTAGATCCCTAGATCAGATGGGATCTGATGTCTTTAGGGCATTTAGGTCTATATAGGAAGCAATGCCCTAATTTTACTTCTGCCAGCTATGCCCTTCGCTTCTATTCACAAGGAGCCCTTTGCTTTGAGGATTAAATAAACAGAAATACAACTACATTACATCTACTATGGTGAGAATCATGTGGCCTTCTAGATGTGGAACTCCAGCTTCCAGCAGGCTGAGACAACATAACCAATGTTGAAAGATGGAGTTCAACAACATCTTGGAGGGCTGCACAATTCCCACCCATGTGGTAAAGGTTAACATTGTACACTACTTTCCCAGTGTGTTGCTTGTGGTTTTCCTGTAACATCTCTGTGTTTGAGAGTATTTGGTAATAACTGTCTTTTTGCTACAGTGTTTCTGTGGCATTTTCTCTTGATGGCTTTGTTTTCTAGCATTGGCCTCTCATGTTTTCCTTTATTCTGTTTGCAAATGGCCAATCCTGGACTCCTGGCTCACTAATGATTTCTGTATAACTGAACTACTTGCATATAACTTACATTATTTTATGGACGTTATTTCTCCCACTCTGCAATTTATGGATCTTTGCACATTCAGGCAGAACACAACAGCTTAGTCTTATAAAACCTTCCTTAAGCCCATTAAACAAGGCAGTGTTAAAGTTTACTAACCAAACTAATGTATTAAAACATTTTGGGTAAATGAGATAAGACGTAGTCAGTGGCAATTTTCAATGAGCTGGTTCATGGCTCACCCTGAAAACGACTCTCATGAGAGCAAGAGTGGGAGTGTGTTGAGGTGTGTACAATTTAAACCTGATCAAGATCTGCTCATTTGCTTTAATTAATTTAGGTTGTTCAGGCCATTTTCTATGGAGTCTCCATGCTTACTGATGCATTTGTACTAATGAAGAAACATCGAATTGCCAAGTCCATGTTTTCCTTCAGAGATCTGCTATTTGGTGGCCTGGCTTTTCCTCTGTCTATGGTAAGTTACAATGAAACAGAATAATAATTGTTAGAGCATTTGGACTAGTACGATGCTTTAAACCAGGGGTGGACAACTATCAGGGATAGAATTGCCCTAAACTTAGAATTTTGTGGCCAAATTTTCACCAACACATTTTAAAGGTCATTTGCATCACATTTGGGGTTCAGGAAATAATAATAATAAAATAATAATAATAATAATAATAATAATAATAATAATAATAATAATCTTTATTTATACCCTGCCACCATCTCCCCAAAGGGGACTTGGGATGGCTAACATGAGGCCAAGCCCAAAAATACAATACAGCAAAATAAAATACAGAGAAACAAAAAATTACATCAAAATAAGAAACATGAAGTAGCAAAATAAAATAAACAGTTACAAAATAACATAATGAAGAGATAGAACACAATGGACGGGCCAAATGCACAGGATAAAAATGATAAAACCCTGGATGAGATAGTAGTGGGAAAGTGTATTTCTGGGGGAGGAGCTCATAAGGAACGAACAGTTCATTAAGGACAGGGGGAAAGTGCATCATGAGGATGAACTGTAGTAGGAACAGACAGAAATGTTCACTCGCCAAAGGTACATCGGAAGAGCCAAGTCTTTAGATCTTTCTTAAAAGCTGCCAGGGTCGGGGCTTGCCTAATTTCACTAGGTAGCGAGTTCCAAAGCTGAGGGGCCACAGTAGAGAGGGCTCACTCCCTCGTTCCCACAAGTCGTACTTGTGATGGAGGTGGGGGCGAAAGGAGGGCCTCCCCAGAGGATCGAAGAGATTGTGCAGGTTTATGGAAAGGCCTTAAAAAAAAACAAAACAAAGCACATCATATCCTGTGATAAAATATCTCTCCTCCATGTGAAACAAGCCACCATACTAAAATTTGGTGAAAATCTGCCCCTTGCCAACAAAGGCTTTCAGGAACAAGCTTTTGTCCCTCAAATATTTTTGGCCCAGGGAGCCTGTGGACCTCAAAACCAGCCTTGGGAGGCATTTCTTCACTAGGAACCCCAAATCCCAAGGCACAAGATTTCTCAGATCCCAGGCTCGGGTTATAGGAGGAATCCCAGGGTGAGAGAGCTGTGCTGAAAATGAAAAAAATGTTTCAAATTGAATGTTGCTGGTCCCCATTGTTTCAGCCTATGTTGGAGTGAAAATAAAGCCCAGCCAATCTTAACTGGTTGTTTTGCAGCCCAATGAACTTACATTTTTGGATCAGATCATTTAGATTCCACCCTAATGACATCCCTGGAAGATGTAGTCCAAAATGCTAGCTTTCCCAAAGCCTTGTCTAGCATGCAATGATTAGGAAGCTTCTTATGTCTTAATAGCCTGTTCAATGTGCTACAATCCAGAGAACCATGTCAAGGGGTGTAATAGCCAAGAAAAGCTGTTGGTCTCAGCTTGCTTAAAGAAATGGGGAGAGAAATAAGGGTGTGCATCCAAATGGATTTTAGTAAACCAGAATCTCCATAACCTTTTGGAGAAAAATGGCATTCACAACCATTGGAAACTCATAACCTTTTGTAAAAGTATGATCTCCAGAGAAGAGCCAAAAAACCTCTTCTGAGTAAAATCTTCTCTTTAGTGGTATATATCCTCATGTACTTATGTAAGGCAATTTGGTTTTCAGTTGTAAGATAACCTGGTTGTCTCTGATCTGTTAGGAACAAAGATTATGCCAATGCACAAAATATAGCAGTATTTTTTTCCAGTGGCAAAAAACATCTACTCTCCCATAAAATATCTTGTTTCTATATCATGCTTTCAAGAGACAAAAATAAAGTAGACTTCATTAAAAGTAACATATCTGTTTTACTCACAACCTTCATCTATTCAGTATACAGGTACATAACTTGTCGTTCTAGTTACATAAAGGTTTGAAGTAATTTCTCTGTGCAGATAACACAAGACATCTTTCTTACAATCAACAAAGTTTACTTTATTTTTGTCTCTTGAGAGCATGATATAGAAACAAGACATTTTATGGGAGAGTAGATGTTTGTTGGGCAACTGAAATAACACTTCTAAAGAGCTGCTATATATTTTGTGCATTGGCATAATCTTTGTTCCTAACAGTTCAAAGAGATAACCAGGTATATCAGTCTAACCACTAAGAAACCTAATTTGCCTTGCATGAATGCTAGTGGATATATACCACTAAAGAGAAGATTGACTCAAATGAGTTTTTTGCTCTTCTCAGGAAGATAATACTTTACAAAAGGGTTGTGATCTCAAAGATCATCCTTTCTCCAAAAGGTCATGTTTCCAAAAAGCCTTTGTGGATTCTGGTTTTCCAAAAAGTTATGCCTTTCCAAAAAAAGAAACATAGAGTAAATGAAATTCTGCATACCCAAACATACATATACAATACATAATCAAATACAAAACAAATTACTAATGGAGTAATTTTGCTATTACCAACAATGGAGTACATCTGACTTTCCTTCCCTGATGATCTGAAGTCAGTTAGATCTTCATTATTTGAATTACTTCTTCCCTCTATGTCCTCCTGGTAAGGATCATCATTTTTGTCAGTAGTCACTCCTAGGACTTGATAACTGAAGCCCCATCTACATTGCCATAAAAACAGTGTGGGGATCGCATCTGCATAATGCACACAGTTGAACCTGGAGTAAACCACATAGTACGGTTTGACTCAGGGTTAAAAAATACTGGAAAAGGTTTGAATCCTTTAGCAAGATTGCTGCCCTATCATCGGTTGAAGCAAAATTTACTACTAGTCCATTTAGCTTCTGGTCATAGAGTGACCAGAGAGACCACCTTGTTGTTCACCATAAGCAGCCAAATCTCTAGGATTGGTTTTGGGTCCAAAGAAGTACAAACATGTCCCCACAGCTGGAATATGTGTATTTCTCTGGCGCACAGGTTCTCCTTATCTGACTTGACAATTGCAGCACCAAGCAAAGGGACAGCTACATGTCTCCATCTATTTATCATATCACAGCATTATGACTGTATTCTAAACACAAAAATTTAGAACATGAATGACCCTGCTTTATGTTGTCACTTTTTTCGTGTCAGGAGCGACTTAAGAGACTGCAAGTGGCTTCTGGTGTGAGAGAATTGGCCATCTGTAAGGACGTTGCCCAGGGGACGCCCGGATGTTTGATGTTTTACCATCCTAGTGGGAGGTTTCTCTCATGTCCTCGCATGGGGAGCTGGAGCTGACAGAGGGAGCCCAACCAACTCTCCCCAGATTCGAACCAATGACCTGTTGGTCAGCGGTCCTGTCAGCACAAGGGTTTAACCCATTGCGCCACAGAAACTGGGCTTTAGTTGAGCATTTTTGAAGGTCCTGTGCTTTTGACAGCAGCTTCTGTCAGCATTAGATGCTAACTTGCTTAAAAATGTGGAACTCACCAGCAAGTAAATCCAGGTAGATAAAGTATCCCTTGGGAAACCAGAAGTTGCTGCTCTTTCTGCCCCCACACAAGGGGCACTTCTGCTGATTCTGATGACTAAACACTGTGCAGGAGTTGTTTCTGTATATAAGCAACCCATACTATTTTTAGCAAAGAACATCCTTTCTCAGCTCGTGTGTCCCTGGTCTACTCTTATGTGAGCAGCTCTTTCTCAAAGGGAAAACAAAGCTAAGAAATGCAGCCAATACAGTTAGTTAATGGAATCTAAAATGGGAAGCTGCTTTATAGTGGATCAGTCCACTGATCCTTCTCACCCATTATTTTTTACAATGGCTGGCAGCTGTTCTTCAGGCTTACTGGAGATGCTGCTTATTGAAACAGGGATCTTCTGAATGCACATGTTTTACCACTGATCTACCACTTTCTGATCTACTTTTTCTTGTAATAGTCAGATTTTTTTTTATCATGTCAGAAGTGAGTTGAAAAACTGCAAGTCACTCCTGGTGTGTGTGAATTGGCTGTCTGCAGGGATGTTGCCCAGAGGATGTCCAGATGTTTTACCATCCCTATGGGAGGCTCCTTTCATGTGGTCAGATCACAGGTGGGGAATAGAGCATAGCTCCTTCTCTTTGCCCTTAGCCTTACTGACTCTCTAGTGTGAGGAGTAGTTGTTTGTTGTGTGCCCCAGATTGTCTGCAGCTTACACAACATAAAGTGATCCTTTCACAAGGTTTTCTTGGCAAATTTTGTTCAGAGAGGGTTCGCCTTTGTCTTTCTCTGAGGCTGAGAGAGTGTGATGTGTTGAAGATCACCCAGTGGGTTTTCATGGTTGAGCAGGGATTCAAATCCCAATCTTCAATGCTCAAACCACTATGCCACACTAGCTCTCACTTGTGGCTGTCTATCTTAGCCAGATCTGGCATTTCCTGCTGAAAATTAGGATGAGCACTTTGTGCTCTTGCATATGTTCGAAGAGCTGGTGTGATGTGTTCGTTTGAGCATTGTACTACAATATAGGAGACCAGAGTTCAAATACCTTCAAGGCCTTGGAGAATCACTGCAGAAGTACGTTTTATTGATTAGCCCACTGGCTGTATCAAAACATTTGACTAACACATACACGTACACGTGCAGCATACAACCCACAGTACAACATACATTTTAAAAAGCTGTTAAAAAGGTCCCGATCCAGATCAAATATCTCCATCACCTCTACAGTTTACCCCCAATCGATTCTAAATATGTAGTTCTCAGCTGTGTTGCTTCAAATGGAAAGAAGGGGAAACCCACTGGTTATTCTGGGCAAGCCACACATTCTCAGCCTCAGAAAACCCCAAGATGGGTTCACCTCAGGGTTGCCATAAAGCAGAAATGACACACAATCTGGAACATGTCCAGAGAGAGGCAATGAAATGGGCAAAAGGTTTGGGAACCAAATCATATAAGGTGACACAATCGCTATCTTCAAATATGTGAAGAGTTGTTCTATAGAAGTTGAGTGAGCTTGTTTTCTGTTGTTCCAGATGACAGGACAAAATCCAAACTACAAAAAAGAGTAGGAGCCCCGGTGCTGCAGTGGGTTAAACCCAGGTTCGAATCTGGGGAGAGCGCAGATGAGCTCTCTCTGTCAGCTCCAGCTCCCCATGTGGGGACATGAGAGAAGCCTCCCACAAGGATGACAAAAACGTCAAAACATCCAGACATCCCCTGGGCAACGTCCTTGCAGATGGTCAAGTCTCTCACACCAGAAGTGACTTGCAGTTTCTCAAGTTGCTCCTAACACGAAAGAAAAAGTAGAGTGTCTATATAGTCTCAACTTGAGTAGGCCCATTTGATTAATGGAACTTATACAAGTCTAAATTTAGCAAATCCAGATCGTTTGGGAACTCTGCCTTAGTTTGCACTAGGTTTAGGCCATTCAGAAAAACTTCCTAAGGATGAATTAGACTGTCATGAAAGGTGATCAGCTCTCATTCATCACAGATTTTTAAACAGAATTTTGGAAAAATATCTGTTATGGCTGCTTTAGGTGTGGATTGCTGCAGTGGAAGAAAGCTGGACTCAATAACAATGTGCATAGTTTATAGGGTCAGCTAAGGTGCCAGCTCTGCAGTTCTCTGATTTTGTGCACTTGCACAGCAACAGATTAGCCTTGAGGGAATGCAGTCTTTGAGGGGAAACGTCCCATATCCTATTTCTATATCCTTTCTTGGGCCATTCTCTGGCCCAAGTTTAGTTTTCATTAAAAGGAAGTTTAAATATTAAAATGGAGTTTTTTAACTACAACTCACAGAATTCTTAACCAGCATGGTGAGGATTCTGGGAATTGTGTTTGGAACTTTGTAACCTGCAGTCACACCATATATTTGATGGATGCCCCCCCCCACCCCCATCTACATGCTTGGGTACATCACTTCTGCTCACCATTTTTAGCTGATCCATGGAGGGTCTGTTGGGGAAGTTGTATGGGTGGCTAAAGAGTAATTGCCATATTCCTGTGTGATTTTTATATGGCGGGTTTGTTCTGTTTTCAGGCAGGAAATCACCCCTCCCAATACAACAACAACAACAACATTATTCTTATATTTATTTATTTATTTGCAATAGTTATATACCACCCTTCTCAACCCTGAAGGGGACTTAGGGTGGTTCACAGTGTTGGCAACAATTCAATGCCATCTAGTGCAAAAAATAGTATAAAACATTATAATTGACTCCCCCTTAGATAAAATTATTAAACATTACTAAACACATAACCTAAAATAACATCACCTATCACACAGAGACATAGTCATTGTCATAAACAATCCTGGGTCATTGCACTTTCAACTTTCATTTTAACTTTAAATATTCCTATGATGGGCTGAACGCTTGGTTCCACAGCCAGGTCTTTAGCTGTCTCCTAAAGGTCAGGAGAGAGGGGGCCAACCTGATCTCAACTGAGAGGGAGTTCCACAGCCATGGGGCCACCACTGAGAAGGCCCTGTGCCTTGTCCCCACCAGCCGCACCTGTGAGGCTGGTGGGGCCAAGAGTAGGACCTCCCTGGAAGATCTTAATCTACAAGCTCCTCCACCATTTCCCTGAAGGGACTCAAGGCAGCTTACATATGGGACAAAAAATCCACAAGAAAAAAGCAAAACAACCCATTAAAACAAAACACCACTAAAATAAGAGCATTGTCAATTCAACATTCTTATAAAAATACAGTTAAACACAAGAGAATAAAATAGCAGCATTGATTGGACAATATTCAATAAAAACCAATGACCAGAATTACTAAAATGCCCAAGCTAAAAAAGGGTTGGGCATGGGCTAGTGCAAAATAGCGTACCATAGGGCTGTGGAATTGGATGAAGTGCAGAGAGCAGAGTTCTTTGATAGACTGCTAGCATACCTTAGAAAACACAGATATTGACTTTGGGGGCTGCATGCCCAATGTGGTTCATATTTTCTCCCTAAAAGCAGGTAGGCTGGTGCAGCTAAAGCTAAGTGTTGGTTAATAGCATACCTGCAACACACTTGCTTCTCAAGTCGCTCCTGACACGACAAAAAAAACCCCAAAAACCTTGCTTCCCACATGGCTGAAATGCCTACAGAAAGTTGTGGTGGTGCCACCTGTTCTGGTAATCATTTCAGCTTCCAGAAACTTGCAAATAAGCATCTACATAAGCAGGTTCTGCTTGTTTGATCCTTCAACTGTGGAAAAATGGGTAGGCGAATAATGTGAAGAGGACCAGCTTTCAAAAAAGTGCTGGATGAAAGGTCACACTTCATGTTCACAGTGCCATGCTAGCTGGGAGATTTTAGGAGCTCTCATCTTAAGCAAGCTTTACTTAAAATTCATATTGTTACATCAAGGTCTGGAATCAGTATGTCCCATCATCATTATTTCAAAAATAATGCTGAGAGTTGAGGGAGCTTGTTCCTACCATCTCTTTTTGGAAAACAACACTGAACTTTACCTTGCTGTAGCATCATTGTTAGATAAGCACACAATACTTCTGAAAATGATTTGTGTATGTTTCAAATGTTTTGTTTCAGTTTGTGTTTACAAGCTTTTGGATGTTATACTCTTATGACCGGGAGTTAGTTTACCCCAAGAGCCTTGACTTGGTCTTTCCTGTCTGGATGAATCATGCAATGGTGAGTAAAAAAAAGAAAAAGTCTGGAGGAGTGGTTGGAAACATGCTGTATGAAATAAAGCTAATTTTTAATCAATACTCCCCTCTAAGGTGATTTATGAAAAAGAAAGCAAGCATGACCCAGTCAATTATCCACTTGTAAGTTCCAATGATTTCCACGGATGAGTCAGATGCACTCTTAATCCTTCTCATAGAAATTGGGGAAATGAGTGAGAATTATTTTACTGGATGGCATGTGAACATTGCAAATGGTCTTTCGATGTTTTCTCCTGCTGTCTCTTTAAGAACTGTAGCAAATGAGTGGATGTATGAATTGCTAAAAGAAGCCTTAAAGCACGGAGAGGGAAATGTCAGTGAATCATAGTTTGCCAAGTTGAAGTCAATGGAAAGATGTGAAGTCATTGAATTGGAGGCGGAGAGAGACATTTTCTAGGTTACCGCAGTGCATAGAAAAGAATGAAACTGCTGTAAACAGAGTGTTATACAATAGTGTGTATTTGGGAATACAAATGAGTGTTTGGCAGTTTTTTAGAAAGGAAGGAAAGATCCCCAAAGTAATAATGCTGAAGCAAACCAACTGGGCAGCTAATTTGTGTGGTGCCCACAAAAAAGGGCAAGCTTAACAAGAGCTAATTGGTTTACTTGTGTTCCCAGATTGATTTTTTTTTAAAAGGACCTTAGCATAAACTAATCAAAAAGAGAGGGTTGGGTAAACTCTTTGCTGGCCAAGGGCAAGAAGTTGCTGGTAAAATAGAAGTGGTGGGTGTGTTGCTAAATTCATGATGCATCCTCTTGAGGAAGGTGGGAGGAAAAGTTCGGTACAAGACTGAGTCATAGCAGCTGAAACAAATGAAATAATCCTATCCAAGATGCTGCTTTGGTTCTCTGAACCTTTTGTGCTCAGTGCTCTCTTAGGTGGCTGACTGTGGCTCAGGGAAGTGCTAGAAAAGATCAGCACTTGGTGTCATGACAGTCCCCATTCTGACTTTATACTTTGGCAAAGTCAGTTTGCATTGTTTATTCCATTAGAATAGGGCTGGTCTCTATTATTTATTTATTTACTATATTTATATCCCACCCTTCTCACCTCAAAGAGGACGCAGAGCAGCTTACGGCAGTCAACAATTTGATGCCACACAAACATACATACAATAAAATAAACATATATGTTTAAAACCAAAAAGTTAAAAACATCTCAATATTAAAACCACACAATCCAATCATAGTCCGAAACCATTCCGGTCATAATTTGTAATTTTTTATTCTTATTGCACTGAAAAATTATGGTCCAGAAGCCTGGTCCCACAGCCACGTTCTTGCTGAAGGTCAGGAGGGAGGGAGTTGATCTAATTTCTCTGGGGAGGGAGTTCCAAATCCAAGGGGCCACCACTGAGAAGGCTCTGTCTCTCGTCCCCACCAACTGTGGAGGTGGGACCGAGAGCAGGGCCTTCCCAGAAGATCTTAACCTTTGAGGTGGTTCATAGAGGGAGATACATTCAGACAGGGCAGTTTGGCAGGAACGGTTTAGGACTAAGGCCAGCAATTTGAAGTGTGCTTGGTAGCAGACTGGCAGCCAGTGGTGTGTATGTTCCCTGTACATCACTCCAGTGAGGAATCTGACTGCCGTCCGTTGAACCACTTGAAGCTTCTGGACAGTCTTCAAAGGCAACTCCACATAGAGCACATTGCAGTAATTGTGTAATAGCTGGTCTGTTTAAACCTTCGTTTTTAACTTTTGTGCTATGAAGTTTTACCTTGGCATTTTAATGATGATGTTTTTGACTTAATCAAGTTTTAATGTATTTTAATTCAATATTACAGGAGTCTTAGGATAGTGATCAGTGCCTATTTGTGTATTTTTGTTTTTGTCTTTAATGTTGATATTGTCAGTGGACCAATCAATAAACTTTGCTTGCTTGCATTGCAGTAATCTATCTAGGATGTAACAAGAGTGTGGGCCACCATGGCCAAGTCTGGCTTCTCAAGGGCCCTGAGGCCATTCTTGTGGCTCCAGAGACCTCCCTGCCCCATTTCATTAGCTCTGAAGTGCCCAAAACTAATATCTAGAGATGTCGGGGCATTCTATGTTTGGAACCCCGCTTGAAGCTTCCAGGGAGCAAATGGAAAATTTCACATTTTTTCCCAAAAAGCATTTTTGCCTCAAAATGTGTTCTGTGCACCCACAAAAGCCCCAAAAGATGCCACAAAAGGGTGTTTGTGGACAAAATATTTTTTTTGTTTGAATAGGTGTGGGGACACAGCCCTGTAAAGCCTCCTTATGGACTAATGAGGATCCTTAAACCTTCACTGTTGTCCACCCCTATTCTTTGACACTTCTTAAACTGTGGGTCCTGGGTGCAAATGGGGTCCCCTTCGCTCAATGCTGCGGTCTGAAAAGGTTTTGGCAAAAGTAAAATGTTTCTGAATGTCTTCTAGTGGCTGTTGTAGATATTAGACAAACCTTTTAGCAACAACGTGCAGTGTTTACAGTAAATGCTTCAGCTGTACTTCATAAAAAGGGAAAACCAGCCTGTTTAGCAAGCCTCATTATCAGTAAATGTTTGATTTTATACATATTTTATATACCTATATATACATGAGGCCATGTAAAATATTCTGGGGCAGAAACAGGCCCCAAGTGGAAAAAGTTTAAGAACTCTGCTCTAGAAGAATGATGGGCAACTGTGGCTGTCCAGTTGTTTTTGTCTGACAACTCTGATTTGCTCTTGATAAAATAATAATAATAATAACTACTACTACTTTATTTTTATACTCCGCCTCCATCTCCCCAAAGGGACTCGGGGCAGCTTACAAAGGGACAAGCCCAGAGCACAGAGTTAAAACGTAATGCAATAAAATACAAACAAAACAAAACCAAATAGAAACATAGCCAAAGTTGATGGATGATGGATGTTGTAGTCCAAGGATGTGAGGCCCAGGTTCTTCCCCATTCTGGCAATTGTTTTCTCTCAGCTCACTTAGGAAACAACCATCTACATTGCCTTTAGTTCTTTGGAAGAAAAATAAGATATACATCAAATAAATAAATTAAATTTTCTACTACCAGACACACTTAGTTCCCCTTTTAAAATAATGCATTCTAGCAGGGATCACATATAAGAATGATGACTTTGAAAGTGTTCACCCCTTTGAGTGTGATTACAAGAGTTTAGCCACCAATACAATGGTTTCCTACATTTTAGGACATTAGAGAGAAATTTTCATTTGCACCAAAGACTTTTTTTTTTACAAAGCACAGTATATTTTGCACACAGAAGGTAGCTTGAAAATATCCTAGTGCTTTGATAGAAATGATGACAATAATACACCAGCTCTTTGTAATAAATCTCCAGGAAACTGTTCTTATCTTTTATTTCTTCCTGCCATCTTTTCTGATTATAATTTTCGTATTCCCTTCCTTTTTTGCTCCATTTTCTATTTCATCCTACTCTCACAATCTGTAGTAGATTTCCCAGCCCCCAGACATCACTATCTAATTTATCTCCATGTATTTGTAGTGCAACATGTCATTTAGTCTTGGGTTGCTGTGAGTTTTCCATGTTCCAAAAGCATTCTCTCCTGACATTTCACCCTCATCTATGGCAGGAATCCTCAGATATTGAGGTCTGTTGGAAACTAGGCAAGTGAGGTTTATATATCTGTGGAATGTCCAGGGTGGGAGAAAGAACTCTTTGTGAGGCAGGTATGAATGTTGCAATTGGCTACCTTGATTAACATTGAATGGCCTTGCAGCTTCAAAGCCTGGCTGGTTGCTGCCTGGGGAATCCTTTGTTGGGAGGTTTTGGCTGGCCCTGAGTGATGGGAGGTGTTAGTTGGCTCAACAATCAGGGCCAGCTAACACCTCCCAACAAAGGATTCCCCAGGCAGCAACCACCCAGGCGTTGAAGCTGCAAAGGCTATTCAAACTAATCAAAGTGGCCAATTGCAACATTCACACCTGCCTCAAGCAGACAGTTCTTCTCCCACCCTGGACATTCCACAGATATATAAACTCCACTTTGCCTTGCCCAACCGCCCCCCCCCCCCACCAGCACTAACTGTGGGCTTCTTGGCTGCCCGCCTCCTCCTCCTCCTCCTCCCCCCCCCCCCCCCCCCCCCCCCCCCCCCCCCCCACCCCCCCCCCCCCCCCCCCCCCCCCCCCCTCCCCCCACCTCCCCCCCAGTTTTATTTTTGTGTTTCATAGTCCTAT